TGATGATGATGATGATGATGATGATGATGATGATGATGATGATGATGATGATGATGATGATGATGATGCTTGAACCAAATATTATAGCCACGATTCTCGTGGACTTTTGAACTCTATATGCTTTGTAAATGATGTTCCAACGCCCAAATTCTATTTGCGCCAATCCATGATTTTGAGCTTCCATTCATTGCGTCATGAGCAGCCGTGCTCCTTTGTCATTCCCATGGCGTCGTGAATGCTAAAGTATCCGATGAACACCTTGCTCAGGATGCTCGACCCACATTCTTGAAAGGAGTAGCGACGATCTCTCCGGCGAGCTTACTCCTGGCTCGGATGGAAGGTCCCCATATCAGTAATACCCACGGGACGATAGTCAACAGGAATCCAACGCCTCCCAGGAACCCGCCAGCACCCTGAAACGTCATGGTCGTATATAACTGCCGAGTGAAGATGGGGAATGCGCCTCCTAGCAGGTTCCTACAGCATCCCTGCACGGCCAATGCGCTGCTCGCATAGCGGTGGTAGGAGTCTGCGAGATAATTGAATACTGCTAGGTAGACGCTGAAGATGCCGATCGTCGCGCAGCCGACTCCTAGGGTAGGCACGATCCACGGGACGTTGTGATATGCTCCCGCGACGCTGAACCATACGCAGCCGATCGGAAGCAGAGCCGACTGGAAACAACAAAAGTAGAGCCGGCCCTCGGGCGTCTTGAGGAGCTTTCGATGCTTCTCGGGGAGATACGGCCACAGGAGCCTCTCCTGGAAGATTGCGATCGGCGCGAAGATGATGCTGGCGATGCTGATCGTGGAGAAGACTCCGCCGGCCTGCAGCGTGGTGAAGCCATAGGTGGTTTCGAAAATGAGGGGGATCGCTCCGAACGTCAAATACAGTACTGACCAGCTGAAACTGATCCAGAGGCTGAAGAAGAACACCGTCGGTTCAGTGAGAAGCATGTAGAACGGCCTCCAGAGACTGATGCTGATCATTTGGAGAATCGAGCCGCGCTCCTCGTCGGCAGCGACCTTCCAGCGGATTCGTTGAACACTCTGTTTCGACAAGTCATCGGCGCTGGGTAAGATGACGCCATAGTGACCTTCTGACTCCAGCTGATCGTACCATTTATTCAAGGCCTTGGCTTTTCGCGAGAGTAAAACAGAACCTCGCGTTTCCTGGAAGAAGAAAATGATGAAAATGACGAGAACGCCGTCCGTGATGACCTGGAGATAGAAACACCAGCGCCATGTGGTATATGTGACAAGGATGGAGGAGATCATGGGCCCCAGTCCAGTGCCAAACATTGCCGCGGCAGAAAAGAGCGTCATGGCGGTGTTTCGGTCGCTGGCATGATAGATGTCGGACACGACGCCGCCTACCACGGTGCTGAAGGTACTAGACATGGCTCCAGCTAGGAACCTCGCAATCAGCATGCCGGCGAAAGTGAGTGTCAGACCGCACGTCAACTGGAACAGAACAAACAGCACGCCGGTGACGACAAAAATCGGCCTCCTTCCGTTGATCTCGCTGAACGGCGCAAGGAACATGGGGGCCATGGCGAACCCGACCGTGAAGACGGTGATGCCGACCTGTGCAGCTACTGCTGAGATGTTCCATTCCTCGGTCATTTGGCCAATGCCTGGAGCATAGGATCCCGCGGTGTATGCGGTGACGACAGTCGCCGTACATGATAGCCACGTCGTGAAGGTTTTGCGACTTGCGGACCAGAGGAATGGTGAAGTGTACTTCTTGAGGTCGGGACAGGGAGTCGGGGTTGAATGGCTATGATCGCGCGTCTTTGCCTGTGCGGAGAGACATAATGGCGTTGGAAGGTCGGTCTCGAATGTGAGGTAGTGCCATGAGATGTCGTCGTTGTGCTGATCGGGCATGATGCTGCTAGCGGCATCGTCCTCGGCTGACTTCTCCGATCCGGCCCTCAATGGCTTATCAGATGTTGAAAGATCTTGTCCGTCGTCCATGTCACCGAAAGAGTGATCTCAATGTGTTGGAATGTGAGTAAAGAAAGGATCGAGAAGCGAGCTTTGGTTCATACATAGACTGATCAGGTCTCAATCGAGTCATCTCTCCTCAACAAAAAATGAAAGGCAGTGCTTTAGCGTCTTGTGACAAAGCAGCATTTGGTTTTCCACACAGATCTATTGTTCATCGTGGAATAGTCGGCACATGTATGTAGTCGAATGCACGCCCTAGAGTCATTTTGCAAGTGTAGTGCCGAGCCGCACTATCCGCAATGTCACCTGCCATTGCCGCACCGACTCTAACCATTCGTCCTCGTCTACCTGGATGGTTTTAAGATATCATCTGGAAAGCAGCATTGACTATTATTACTGGAGCTGCTGCTGCATTTTAATGGTCCATCTCTGCCATGACAGCTGGTCGCCCGGTCATGTTGCCCGACTTGAACAGAACTGGCGTTGGCCGAAAGCTTCCAATGCCCGAAATTGACGCATCCGTTGTGGTCGTTTCTGTTTTCTCTGGGCTCGAGCTCTGTTTGATCATGACGTTACTTTATCGTCTTGCCAATACTTGATGAGAGCAGAGTTCCGTTGACTGTGTGGCATTCCTCTCCCTGATGACAATGATGGGAACAGATACGGGGGTTCGCCACTGTGATGAGGCACGTCCTGTCGCAGAATCTGCAAGCGGGAAGCAATTGCTGATTGATTGAGATGCCTGAGGTGTACACCTGGAACAGAACTGGACATGGCGCGGAGGAGCTGCACATTCCTCTGTCGATCAAACCTCCGCACAGCTACTGCAGGTCTTCATACAATCTCGCAGCACTCTAGGCTTGTTGGTAACGATTTGGTAGCAGTTCGGACCCACTGATGATACAGTACAGTACAGCATGCCGTCCAAGTGTATCCCACAATTTTCATCTACCAGACACTCATGGCTTCGTACATTTATCTACAGCAGGGTAAGCAAATTGCTTAAAACCCTAGGGTAAATATGCCGGAATCAAGGCACAGACCCCACCCTGGAGCAGTGTCCGTCCCCTCCAGGGTTCGTGTGATGACCCTGCAGACGTCAAAGCCGATGGAGGTGGTCGGGCAGATGTGAATGAGATGAACTTGGAGTCTCAAGTTGGAGATCTGAGCCTGCCATCGGTGGGAACAATCGACGAGGATTCCCGATTGACCGGAAACCCCGATCTGATGAGCATAGTGCTGCGGCATCGTGTACCCAAGTCGTTCGCACCGATCAAAGTTGTATTCCCAGATTGTCGTGCACTTCGGGAAGGGCGATTCCCGAAGACTCGAGTTCGGTTCGCATCAGCCGTCGCCTTGAAGCAGGGAAGGCGGGCGTCGAGATGGGTTCCATGCCGGGCAAAGCGGTTGAAAGCCCGCAGAGAGGTGCATGGGCAGACAGCACGCGGTTCTCGACGGTCCTCGAGAGCAGCTCCGCATGGATGGATGGATGGAATACGTGACCCGGACGAGGTTCTGTTTTCATTTATCACAGTGATAAAGTATATAGTGCGACAAGTCATGTACTGTAATAGTGTAGTGATGGTACCAGCGTATTTCATGCCTGCCCAGGTGTGATTCGTCTCTGTCGCATAAGCACGATTTCGGGTATACTGGAATAACATGAACAGCACGCATGGTATTTACTGTACTGTCCAGGTGCACTGGATATGATAATGAGAAGAGGAGCGTGCCGTTGCCGTGAATTGGGGGGGCGCGCGCGCTCCCTTTCCCCCGCATTATTTTTATATGTGACTTTCTAGGATGCCCAGGTGTACAGTACTTCAAAGTTCATGTGGAGGTAGTGCGTGGATGCGGACACACACTAATTCGCCCCGGAGGAATATTGGTGGAGGGCGACGACTCTATCCCGACGTCTTCCCGCGTTCGCTGGATCTCTGCACGCACAATTCGCAATCTGCCAGAACAGGCCACCTGCAGCCAAATCCGCGGAAACTGTCAATAGTGACATCTCTCGAGAACAAGGTGAGCAGACATCCGCTTCTGCATTGCTCTTCAATGGCTTCTCCCCTTCCCATCTCTTCCTCTCGGGCTCTGCTGGCCATCTCGGCCGGCGCGCCGCTTTCCCCCCTGATGTGCCGCCCTTCCCAGCTTCTGCACCGCCGTGAGGCACGCTGAGAACGCGGTTGAGCGGTGCGCGTGTCGTCGAGCGGTAGGCAGCAACGTTCATCCGCTCATCATGAGATGCATCGTCTTCGATCTGGCCAGACCTGGCATTCAGGCATTCGGCACATGCTGTCATCCACCGGAACATGTCAAGTCCACGTTGCCTCCCGACTGACTGCTTTGCCCCGCCGCTCCCTCCTGTTCCCAACGCACGCTCTTCATCTGTGTCATCGGGAGCCTCATCCTCGCTTGGAGGCTTCAGGACTGTCGTAGGCCACCTGCCTAGTGTTCAGATCACCATTCGGAATTTCAAGTGTCGCAACTAGTATCGCCACCAGCTAACCGCAGATGTCTCTTCCACTAGGCACCTTCGCCAATCCGGCAGGCGCGGGACCGAGCAACAATCTTGGGTTCCTTGCGGCGACGGGCAGGACGCATTCAGTCGATAGTGTAAACAGCAACGCCATCTCATTCGACTCCATATTCGGCCGGGACAGACTCAGGCCCAGGGCAAAGTCAAGGCGCAACGATCATTCTTCGTATTCCGCGAGAGCATGGGTCCATCGCACCCGTGAACCAGATCGACCCGATAACAGCCCTCTGGTCTTGGAAGCCGAGGATCCTCGGCGGAAACGACAAGACTCAGCAGTCCGAGAGAGCAACAAACCTTCGCCTCACGATTCGTTCGATCTCCCGGGAAGCCGCTCTCGGAGCCAAACGCTGAGCCGACCGAAGCACATTCCCATCTTCGTGGACTATTCGCATCCTTCGTTTGGAGTGCCACCGCCATTAAATTCCGCAGGGTCTTTCAGTACACCGGCTCGTCCCAAGACCGCTACCGGCTCTTCTTCCTTTGAATCGAGAGTCGAGGCAACACATTTCCCTCCGAGAAATTTCGAGCTAAAGATTCCAGATTGGGCAAAGCCAGGCACGCGAGATACTGCCGGGTCGGCGCCGCACTCGCCCAAAACCGCACCTAAAGAGGACTACTTCAGCCAAAAGACCTACCTGACTGTTCCAACCATGGCGCAACTAAAGCCTTCAACAAGTTCATCGCAGATCCCCGATTCGAACGCGAATCGCCTTTCTCCCGACGGCCCTAACGCGATGCAGTCCGATCTCAATCCGCGAAGCCTGCATGTAAACGGCCTGGGCAGCCAGACGAGCCTTAGCAGTTTATCGGCAGTGGATGACACATCAGCGTCCGAAGCGGAAGATGGCCGCCCAGATGACGCCGAAGGCTACCAGGATATCAACGGCAACGGAGTAGCCGATCCACGCACATCATCGACGACCCCGACGCCAGCAGCGAATTCGGCCAGCTTGTCAGGTCTCGTCTGCAATGTCCATCGGACGACTGGCGACGAACCTCCGCCTTTAGTTGGCGCAACGACTACGATTCTCGGCGACAAGCTCTACGTCTTCGGAGGCAGGACACTGTCTCGCACGAAACCAGCATTGAGTTCACAACTATACGAGCTTGACCTAATCAAAAGACACTGGACGAGAGCTGAGACGCGAGGTGACATTCCTGCTCCGCGGTATTTTCACAGCATGTGTGCTCTTGGAGACACTAAGCTCGTGTGCTACGGCGGTATGTCCCCCGGTGGCGTGACCGCTCAGGGCGAGGTCGAGGTCGTGACTCCGGACGTGACCGTTATGTCCGACATTCACATTTTCGACGTGCCTACACTCACATGGACTCGACTTCATACACCTGATGCCCCTCAGGGACGGTACGCGCACTGTGCCACCATCCTCCCATCATCGGCAGTGTTCGCGTCCAAGAGTGCGCCACTGTCCGCTATCCATCACAATCCTTCCGGCGCTAACCCCAATCAAGGGACTCTGGGTGTCGCGCTTGATGGGACGGGTGGTGCTGAATTGGTGGTTGTAGGTGGACAAGACAGTGCCAATCTTTACATCGAACAAGTCAGTGTCTTCAACCTTCGCAGTCTGAAATGGACTGGCACCACCGGGATGGGCCGCAGTTGTGGTGCTTATCGAACCGTCGTCACGCCACTCACGACCATGACGGCTTCGAAGATTGGCGCAGGTCCATCGAATAACAATGAGTCAGAAGGGGACGGCGAGGAAGAGTCCTCTAACGTGGGTTCTGGAGCCGCAACATTGATATACTCCAACTACAACTTCCTCAGCGTCAAGCTGGAGTTACAGGTGCGCCTGACAGACGGGACTCTCATAGACAAGCCGATGTCAACTTTGCTGTCACCACCGGGTCTGCGATTCCCGAATGGTGGTATCATCGCGAATCATTTCGTGGTATCTGGGACATTCTTGACGTCTTCCAGGAAGGAATATGCAGTATGGGCGTTAGATCTCCGAACACTGACGTGGAGCCGGATCGATGCCGGGAGCAGCATTTTCAGCCAAGGCAGCTGGAATCGAGGTGTTGTTTGGAATCGCAGAAATTCGCTCGTAATTCTTGGAAATCGCCGGCGAAGCTTGGTTCATGATTACAACAATCGTCGGATCAATTTCAGCAATGTATGCATTGTGGAGCTAGAGGTTTTCGGCTTCTACGAGAATCCCAAAGTCACAGAGCCAACATCCAAATTCGTCTCAGGCATTGGACCGCGGATGAGTGGGAACGCCAGTGCAGACTTTGGACGGATGTTAAGCTCAGCCGCGAAGGATCTCGGCACACTGGCTCTCGGGATTCGGGAACTAGCCGATATGGACTTTCTTGCAATCGATGGAACGAGGATTCCTGTCAACTCGCGACTCATTGCCCGACGCTGGGGCCCCTATTTCGTCGGTCTCCTGCGCGAGGCGCTGTCGGCCGCCTCCGACGCGCACACATCCGGCTCTCGACCGGCACTTGCCAGCCATTCGTCCCGGGCGTCAAGCATAACCATTACACCATCCGTCAACTCGACATCCACATCGACCACACTCGTCAATAACACTTCAGATGTGCCGGATACCGAGGGGGCGCCAGCGCCAACTCGCCCTCGGCTATTTTATCTTCCACATACCGCCTCCACCCTCCATGCTCTACTTCACTATCTATATACATCTACCCTGCCAGCCCCACCGCATCCCCTGGCAACCCCGCAAACTTTCTGTTCTCTCCTTCAACTAGCCCGACCATACCGCATCGACGGCCTCCTCGAAGCAGTCATCGAACGGCTCCACGACTGCATTGACGGCCGCAACGCCGCCGCCGTATTCAACGCCGCCGCCATGGGTGCAGGCGGCGGTAGCAGTGTACAATTCGCCGCTGGCGGTCCCACCGACCGCAACGAAGCGCCCATCCGCCAAATCAGCATCGACACCATGCTATCCAACGGCACGCCGCGGACGATGCCGGGCCTGCGCATCGACACGGGCATGGCTGCCAATGGCGAGCGAGCACCAGGCGGCGCCCCGGACGACGACGAGGCGCCTGGCAGCGCTCACACTGACGGTAGCGCGAGCGAAGGCGAGCAGACGTTCAGCGCTCGCGCTGGGGCTCATCCGCATCGCGAGGTGTGGAACGGCAGTGTTAGCGCCGTGGTCGGGTTGCAGAAGCGTGGTCTGCGCGGTCTCATGGAAGGCCGACGCCTTCGCGAAAGAGGGCGGAGCGGTGGTCTCGCGGCGGGTCAGGAAGAAGGGGCTAGGGTTGGGTTGGGGATTGCTTGATGTGGTCTATCACTCCCGAAAGGTAATGAGAAAAATGTTTGATGTTGATATCCTCTGCTTGTTAATCCCCCTAATATTTTACGAAGCGATGCCCCGTACAATCGGTCTTGGAGTGATGTCATGGTCATATTTCATAGGTACATGTAAAGTTAATCATTGACATGCTGTGGTACGTATGGAGTCGACAAGAAGCCTGATCCACTATGCTGGATCCAATATATATCTTCCACATCACTTCTTCGCCCTGCTAGTCCTGGTACGCTTCTTCGCTGGTTGCTGCCGCTGCGACGTCTCATTGTAGCTTGCGTCGTCGTCGTCGTCAGAGCCAGATTGCTCGTCTGGCGCAACGTTCGCACGAGCGGACTCCTTCCTCCGCTTACCAGCTTTCGGCGCCGCTGCCTTCGCACTCGACGCCACATTCGATTGCTCTGGAATTTCCCCGGTCACATCGTCGGCCGTCGATCCTCCCTGCTTCGTTCGCGCACGGTCCGCCATTCTCTTCAGCGCCGAACCCATCCTCTTGCTACCGTCAGCCCGTTTCCTCGGCGCGAAGCCTTCCCCACGAGCACCGTTGGCGTGGGCGGCAGCGCCGACACCCACAGTCCCGTCGAAGAAAGCGGTGATGTTGGCTTGTGTGCCTTCGTCCATACGACGGTTCATATCTTTGATGACAGGCAAGAGGATCTCATCAGTGCGCTCTTGACTCCAGCCGATTGTCGCCATGAGGTACGATCGTAAGGCATCCAGGTCGGGTACACCCCATTGGAAAGGCTGTGGATCAGAGTCGACTTCGGGTTCCACGTACGCGAGGTCGACTCGAGGATCTGGGAAAGCTGTAGGCAGAAAGATCTTTGAAGCGTTACGACGGAATTTGAGGCGGAACGAGTTCCCAGCGTCGTCGCTCTTGGTGACTTGATTCATTTGAACGCCGATAAACCAGTCTCTGAATTTCTCCAAATTCTGGAATTCACTGATGATCTCCAGCGCAGTGACGGGTCCAACGCCGTTCAAGCCTTCTGTGTAGTCTGAGCCGAGTAGCTGAGCGACCGCGATCATCTTGTCTCGTGTCAAATCAAACTCCTTTTCAAGATCCGAGCTGAGATAGCACTCGACATATTTCGCCTGATTGAACATGTTCTTGTAGATTCGGGTTCCTCCGAAGAGGAAGCAATCGGAGTCGTCTGTTACAATACCATCGACCAGACCGAGACGCACAAGTTCTGCACATTGGGCTTCGGCTTCCATCGGTGCTGTCACATATGGCAAACCGAATAAAGAGAGTAGCTGTTGGCATTCCGTGATCATCACATGCGTAACCTCGTCAGCATCACGGCGGTCCTTTTTCTGCTGGCTCCGCAACTGTCTCAACTCTTGCTCGTACTCCTGAATATTTTGGGTCTGGCTTTTGTTGTTTAGGCTGCTTGCAAATCTGGCGTGCTCTTCAGCCTCCATGGTCAAAGCTTTGAGCATTTCGAGTTCTTCTGGATCGGAGAAATCATCAAACTCATCGTCGTCCGGGTAAAGCGCCAGACTTTCTTGATTCGAGTCGACCATAGTGGATGGCCCTGGGTCTGTCTCCACTTCCGCATCCTTTCGTTGCAAGGGTGCGTCTGGGATAGTGACCTCCTCAAATTCGGGAGATGGAGAACGTGGTGACATCGAAGTGCGCTCCAATACCTTTTGCACGGTTTCCTGAGCGCCAGTCTGGTGAGATGTACCATCATTCATCGGACCCTCGCCAGCTACTTTAGGCGACAATGCTTCTGTTCGAGTGACTGAGCGTCCTGATTCGCTTTCGCTCCAATCTAACATTTGTTCGTCATCCTCGTTTGGTTGATTCGAACGAGCCTCGAAGCTCGCATCCTGCAATTCACCACGATTCTCCGTAGTCGAAGCATCATTCTCGAATTTATCAGCAGGATTGGCAACTGCAAGATCTGAAGTTCCACTTTCAGACAATACCTTGCTTGGTTCTGGTGTTGCAACACGACCGTCCTCTACAAAATCAACCGTCTGCTCTCGAGGAGCCGAGGATGACACAGCATTGTATGTCATCGATTCGTCCGCTTCCAGATCGATCAGCTCTCCACGTGCAAACGACTTTGCTGGCTCATCCTGCTCCAAGTCGATGACTTCTGTCGAATTGAGGCGTCGCAAAGTCTCCGGCCCTCGTTCCTGAAACACGAATTGTCTCCTGGACTCCTTTGCCTTTTGTCGGTCTTCTTTCTCCAATGCTTTCTGCGCATTGATGTCCTTTTCGATGTCACCCTCGAACCAAGGAGGAAGTGGCTCAGCTTTTTTCGCCTCCTTTTTTGCCAGCTCTGGATTGACAAACCCACCAGCGGCTTCCTCCGACCGCTCTTGCATTTTCTTCTTGCCGAGGAGTGACGATCCAAGGTCAAGCTTCTCGAAAGGCAAAGGACCACTAAACCCAGCCTTCTTGGCGAGATCTTTCGCAGTATCAACATGCTTTGGGGGTTTCATCTCACGGCGAATTGGGCTCGGTTTACGCTTCGTTCGTCGGCTCTCTGCGAGCGCGGCCTGCAAGTCCATGGCCTCATCTTCATCACTTTCGTCGGGCTTTGGAACGGGTACTCCAAAGGATGTAACCTCGCGACTTTCGGGCGCAGCCGCGTATGCACGTCGATTGACAATGTTGGCGATGCTTCTGCCACTGCCGCTCGGTAGCGGCTTCTGCTCTAACGCTGCCGATTGGTGGAAGACCTCTTGCACATCAGAATTATCTTCTTCGTCCACTGATCGAGCCGGGCTCTCTGTCTTTTCTCGCTCTAACGACATGGCGAGAGCTCGTTGCAGCTCTTCATCCTCGTCCGCAGTGTCATTGTCGTCCGCGGACAGATCATCTGCTGCAGATGCCTGCTCCTTTTCTGCCTCATCCTGGTCGCTTTCCTGAACAAACAACGAGTTCCCGTCCGCTTGAGGCTTTGCTCTCTTGGGTTTCCTAGACACTCCTAACTTTCGCTCGCGGTAAAAAGCTTTCCTTTGCTTCGTCATGGGATCGATGGGCTTAGCTTGTGCAGAAATTTTCGGCAGTCGGTTGAGACCTTCGATTGGAATGTCCTCGAAGTCTTCGTCCTCGTCCACTTCCAGCTCCTCCTTCTTCATCGCCAGTGCATCGGGTGCGTCGACGTCGATCGGCTTATCGGCTTTGCCTTCATCGCTGATGACGCCAAGCGCCCAGCCGCCCTCTACTCCGTCGTTCTTGATCAGCACATATTCTCTTCCTTTCTCACCTGCGACCCTTCCGGACCCATTTGCACCAAATGTAGCATCTTCATATCCATTGAGGTGCATCAATCTTTGCGTGAGCTCATTTCTCTCGGTGACTCGCTCAATCTGAAATTTTGAGAACGCCATGCGATCTGGAAACATGCTTTCTAATTGCTCTTTGGAATGACCCATACGCAGTCGAGATCGCAGGCGCGCTGCGTTGAGGATGTTGTACCGATCAGATGCCGGTAATGACGTGAAAAATGCACTGTCGTAGTCAATTTTGGAGAAGTCGTAGACATTGATATCTTCGCCAGTGTCAAATTGCCGAGCATACGCCTGCAAGTCCTCTAATGACATGATTCTGGGATCATTCGGACCGCCCATATCCGACACTGAAACATCTAGATCTGGCAGATGGTACGCATCCTTCTTGCGGAATTTCCTGTTCTGCTGACGCTCTTGTTGTGTCATGTACACCTCTTCCGCATATACGAGATTTTCGTCCGGCACTGCCTCCTCCGTCTCTTCCTCTCGTGATCGATTTCTTGCTTTTCTCCGTGCCTCATCCTCTTCCGCGCGTCGCTGCATCTGCACGGCGAGCAACTTGCCAGCCGTTCGGACAGCATCCTCTCGTCTTCCCTCGCGTCGCGACTTGCGAGCGCTGATAGTCTGGCGCTTGAGTGCTGGTGCACCCCCATCAAAGACGAAGACGGGTTTGATGCCGAAGAAGAGAAGTTTGCAAATACGGCGAAAGAAACCGACGACATGACTGTTGCGTAATGCGTTTCCTTCCTTATCTCGGACGGCTTTGAGGAATTGATAGATCCAGATACTCGCGTCCACTGCCAAACGTTTGCGGTTCAGCGTTTCGATCTTGATCGGTCGGGCACAGGGCTGTACGATCTGCCATAGGCCGGTGACACCCATGTCAACCTTCGCGACAGAGTAATCAACATGTCAAGATCTTGTGCCCCAAAGATGATGGTCGACAACAAAATCTTTCGAGCCGATAAGGACTTGTCAGTGAAACACCGAAATCTGCCTCACCATAGGCAGCATCTCCACAATTACGTCATGCAACTTGCTTCAGACGCGCGCTCACGTGGGACTCGACAAATGGTGATGGCACGCCGAGGCGCGACAGGGACGAGCCTTCGATCAATGCACATCTCGATTGGAAAATGGAGTTACTGATCGCAAACATCGCTGCACGTCTACGAGTGTGCCGATGCTTCTATTCTAAACCCAATGCACTGCAGCACTTATTCCTGGCATACTACACGGCACCGCGTGTTGTCATGCCATTAATGATGTTCGCCGCCTGTTGTATTTCGTTGAGCCTCCTCTGACCCAGCCATCAGGTAATACTGCCCTCAGCGAAATCCGTATTGCATCGCGACTCTTTAGAAGTGTGTGTGTTTGCTCCCCTAGGCCGGAACATTCCATGACCCTTTGCAAGATCCTTCTATGTCTTTCATGATGATTTCTGATAGTAATGTGCCATCTCCAATCCAGCTCTTTTGAAGCCACACTTCACGTAGAAACCCTCGTTTGCCTCGCTGCAGTCAAGTATGGTCTTGTAACAGCCAATCTTCTCCGCGGCATAGTCCAATGCCTGAATGATACGCAATCCAAGCTTCTTGCCTTGCTGATCCTTTGCGACAGCGATGTCCTCGATGTGTCCGACAAGTCCCAATTTGTGGATGCTGCGGTGCCCGGTTAGTGATGATGCACACAGGCATGAATCATTTTTGTAGGTCTGATGCGCGCATGAGGCACTCACAACTTCCGTTCCACAATCAGAGCTCCTGTGCCGACTATTTTTCGCTCGCCATTGAGAATGACAAGAACATGGTATCCGCCTGCTCCAGCCTTCATCTCATCGAATCGTGCCTCGAATTCAGGTTTGGAGATGTCGCCGACCTGAGTCAGTACCCGTAAGACATCGAGGAAGCCGAGCTCGTAATCGGAGCGCTGCAGCGGTCGAATCGAGTACTCTTGTGGTAGAAGCTCTGTGACTTCTGGCGATATAAGGCTTGGAGAGAAAAGTGGCTCCTCAGAGTTCGAGCTTCCGGCTGTGGCCATGTCGAAGTGATCGAGCGTGTTTATCGGAAGACGATAGCAGTCTCCTTAAACAATAGTGTCGTATCGAGCGAAAGGGTTGGTCTAAGTAGTTTGGCTGAGGCAATGTAGCTAGATGTATCATATAAGTGGCGTTGGTTGGTAGTGACTACTGATTGGCGGCGTAGTTGAACGTATTCATGACAGTCCAGCCGACTCGCAAGACCATTTGATTATTTATAGACGGATCTCCGCCCGCTTTCACATAAGCCATGCCGGGAAAAAAAATCCAAGCTGTTTGATATGAATGGTGATGTTCTGCACTCTACACTGCAGTCTACAGCACAAATACGGATCTCGAAGTCACAGAATCCTTATCCCAGCCGCGACTGAGCTTTGCAACGCCCGAGCAAACAGCCCTCAACTGCTCCGATGCGGGGCACACTCATCATCATCATCATCATCAAGCCAGCCAGTGGGCAATGTCATTTGACTGGGGCATGGGAAAACTTGACGATGAAAACCATTTTGCATAGCAGGTAAAAGTAGTAATAAAATATGATCGCAAAACAAAACCACCGAAACCTTTGAGTCGTAAATGGCGATCGCCCTGAATGTAGGTTCCACGGCCATACGCCCGAATCACAACAAAACAAAAAATGTGTCCATGCGTGGACGTTTTCCCAATCGAATATTCAAAAAATGCTGCCTCCTCATGTGCCCAAGAATCGATCCTAAAAGAAATTCGTTTCGTTCGTATAACTGTACAAATCGAACAAAGAACGTATTGACATGGAACGGTCGTCAGAATTCGTCAATCTGAATAGCCGTCAACCCAGACCTAGCGGCGTGGTCGACTTGTGTTCAATGTAGCGCGATGCATCTCTAGAAAAAGTTGCCCGACGGAAGCGCACAAAAGATGCCAACGGCGACGCCCCCGATTGCGAGACCACCAAGGATGGATTGAAGGAAGATGGTGTCTTGGATCTGACGGAGTGCAGGCTCCTGGATCCAGGTCTGACGATCGAAAATCTTGCGGATGATGTTACGTTTCTCGTATTGCGCGATCCATGGTGCTGATTCGCTTGACTCCCTGCTACCCGAGAGGACGCATTTGGGCGTGATAAAGTCTTCGTCTGCACACGACTCATCGTCGTCAGAGAACAATTCCCACGGCCGGAGATTTCGATGGTGGAGGCCGTGCAACACGACACACATGCCCTTGATAGCAGCGACAAGAGTCGAAATCCCGAGAAGCCAGCCGACGAGAGGCAAGACTCGCCATGCTCGAGGAGCGCTGCTAAGGGTGAGAATGATATTTGCGATGAGGGCCAAGGTGATGAGGGCGATGCCTAGACCGCGTGCGAAGAGAACTCGCGGTCGGTTAGCGTTACCGATTGTCCACCGAATGAAGTTGGGGTGTGCTTGCTTCCGGAGCGAGTATTCAACAGTCGATGCAATCTGTTTCAGCGCAGATGGGTGCGTTGTGTGCTGTAAGGCGTGCATTGCCGCTCGTCGCTCTCGTGAAGAGATGTTCAGTTCTCTGGGGCTGCCCTCAGCAAGATACGTGCCGATTATTCTCGTAATCTCGTCTCGGAATGGTTGCGTAGAGACTAGTATCCGTTAGTAACAATGACCCAGGAGTGGAGGCATTACTCAGGCTCCTCGTACATGGCTGCCAATGCATTTCAGCATCGTCGAACGCTTGTTTCGCGTTCAGCTTCACATCGCTCCGTGCGTCGGTTGACAAAGAAGTGTTAGAGTCCGAGTCGACTTCTTTGGCCTCATCCGTGAATGAACTCGGCTTCGGTGGTGTATTGAATGGGTCGAAACGCTGGACAGACACTGTCGGTGGGGTCTCTGCGTCGAATGCATCCTTGACGAACGTCGCAATGGGATTAGACGCTTTGGACTTCCGAGCAGCGTGGGCATCGGCATCCAATTGAGATCGCGTCCACTCTGGAACCAAGACTTTTTCGCTACTGCTTAGTTGGTCGAAGCGAGTTTCATAGGATTTGAACCAGAGATAGAACTGAAGGTTTTCCTCCGAGTGCTCGATGTATTTCATGTAGTTCAACATATCCCGCACTGTGACTGGCTATGATAAGGTCAGTCAAAGACCAACATCCAATGCAACCCAGCAGACAAGCATCGCGAGGCAACATACTGGACAAGTGCCTCCGGAAACGATTCGATCAAAGGACAACGCATCGGGGACACCTCGAGAACAGCCGATGTTCGACTTGACGGACTCATCGCAAGAGTCTTGGCTGGACAGACGGGACAATGCGTCCTGTGAGACATGAGATGGCCGTGTATAAAGCAAAGAGTGGACCATGGTGAAGGCTTTGTGCACACCGAAGTGGTGACCAGCGTGTTTGAGAGGGTGATGAGGAGGAGAATTACGTGCGATTAACTTTCTAATCCACGTGGAATACTCGCTTATTTAGATGAGACGAGTCGATCATTAGTTTGAGAGGAACAATAGACGAGTCGACCGACAGAGCCCACGAAAGGTTCGAGAAAAGGACGACGCCACGGCTTGAGCAAAAACATGGACGATTACGACAACCATTTAGGGATCGTGGCTGTCGATGGGCTCGCCAGGAGCCATGGAGAACCAGTGCCGGGCATCCTGTATCTCCTGCTCCCATGGCCGTGCACGCAAATTGAGGTAGATGCAGACGGCGGCGTCGGGGCGAGCGAGCGTGTTGGGAGCGGGAACGAGGATGGTGTAGTGGTGGTGGTGTATGAACATGGTGCGGAGGCCTCCGACGCAGCAATTGACAATCGGAAAGTCGGGGAAGTAATTGAGGGCGTGGAGGCGGGCTTCTAGGCGAACGAAAGGTCCGATGGTAGAAGGGGAACTGGCTTTTGGCCGGATTCGACGTGGTGCAGCGCCGATGCACATGCGAAAAGCCACGGGCTTGCTTGCCTGGTAGTTGTGGTAGTGTGGAGCCATCAGGTTCCAGAAGTATACAATCTACCCATCATCTCTCGCTAGAGCGATTGCATTATTACACATAGCAAAGTAATGCACAATGGAGAAGGACTTCTGGTTGGTCATTGTCATCCCTTCTCTCACCACTGTCGTCACCGTCGCCCAGGAAATCCAATGTAGACTCCAAGGTTGCGGTCTCTCACAGCTTTGCAGAGATTCAACCACCCAATCCGCGTCTTAACTCCTGTCCGGCAGCGTCGAACTACTCCAATTAAGTGATGCCGTAAGATATAATTCGAAATGTGAAGACACAATTTCCCTCTACCAGGAATTGTCTTTTGAGATATTGTTAGCGGCCATTTGACCGGTCTCTTCCTCAGCGCTCCGAGCTAGTTCAGGACAACACTAAACTTGCCATGACACTAAATAGAGACGAAATGCTAAGATCGGGAATGTGCCAAGTGAGAGTGCGAGGCAATGTGGGAAGTGTTCCAAGAGTTCCCCAAGCTATGCCAGCCATATGCACACGGTGCATGCCAAGAGTGAAAGGAGATTCTCCTCTGCACAATTTGTGGATACTGCAGAGCAGTGCATAACGACATTGCCCATGTGCTGTCCGATGATGGTTCTCTACATTGACGAGAGGCAATGCACGCCCCGCAGATGAGCTGGGACAAAACGAAACATCACCTGGGCACCTGGGCATGCTTCGGTTGCATCGAGATTTCACAATCATGCGTCTAGGATACCTAGGTAGCTGCGCGATTCCAAGTTCTCACTCTCTGACTACTCAACTGCCCTGAAGGTTTTGGTATTCGGCGGATCGGCCATACACTTCCACGATGGTTGTTCCTCGCGTGGCTATCGCGGCCATCGGTTTCGAAACAGGCGATCCGCGCACTTCCACGTGGAAATTTTCTCCTTCTAGTGGGCTGCGCACTGATCAACGCCTGCTCTTCCGAAGACCTCCTTGCCCTGGCGGGTGATTCCCCAGTACCACAATAGTCTGGGCCGAGTTTGAGGAACGAGTCTGGACTGTGCCTGCCGAGAAGTAATAATAAGAATTATGGCGAGTCTTGGACCAAATTGTTCTTCTTCAGGAGGCTACGAACCGGCGGACTCTCCGATTTTGTGCTCTCCTGGTCAATGGTGCTTGTTGAAGCACCACCTACACCCATCGGCAATATAGACAAGAACGCTTACGACGCCACCAGGCTGAACTTGAGCTGTTCTGCAAATCGTCACTGACCACCCCAGCGATGTAACTCGTACCGCGGGGCGCCGGTAACCATGCGACATAAGTAGAATCGGGTAAGGTGGGTTGAGTGTGGGCGTTTTTCAAGTAGAAATCACGCACAAACCCTCGGACTTCTTCACGACCATACACATCGGGAATCCACCGCACTTCTACGGCATTCCCTGATTCTTCTATCACCAAGAAATGCCTGGATAAATGTGTCACTGTTCTAGCCGAGAGGGCTTCCCGGATACTCTGCCCTGACATTGGTAGTTGGTACTGAACACGCAACATGGGTGGTTCAGTGGTTCATGCGCTCCACGTGAGCGGGCTACTACTCTAAACAAGAATTCGAAACCACCACATAGCCGTTGAGCCCACAATAAGTCCGGCCTTTAGCAAAATGGCGTATGTTCAGACATGCAGTCACACCACTGTGCGCCTCCGTCAAGCGATCCGGTGCAGGATAACTTGTATGTCCATTTCACTCGTGTTCTGCCGGCCTCCGACGTTCGTCTATGTCTCATTGGTAGAACCAGCCTCCTCGTGGTGGTTGAGATGCTGGTCAGGTCGCACGTAGATTCGTTTCCGAAAATGGACTGCGTTACAGCAGAATTGACTTGCAACATCGTCATGGAAACGAGGCACCCTGCGCACATGTGGAGCAACTCCTTTGACCGCCCGGCGAGCTCCAGGAAATACGCAAATTTTGATTTCTAATAACCGAAATGTGGGACTGGTCCTTACGAGCAAGAAGGCCGTAAGTGAATGCTTTGCGTATGTTCTGACTGTTGTCGCTCTGATGCATTTGAATAGCTTTTCAATGACTGTGCTGCAGCCTTCTTCACCACGTCTGAGCTCAAAGCAAATCACTTATCCACATGTTGTAAAGCTGAAAGTGCAGTTGTTTATTACATCTGGCGCACTTCCTTTCCCTTGCCCTCAGGGCGATCTAACTCCCACTCATCGCGTAGCACGGCATATATAGTATCAGTCAGCAAGATCAACAATGCCAAATTCCAGACCAATGTGATGGCATAGAAGAAATTGGCATTCCCAGAGCCAGCGTAGATCCAGAGATGGTGGAAGGCTGGTCCGAGCAAGGTGGCGTAGAGCAATGCTGCAAGAGCTGGAAAGCTGTATCGGTAAGTCGAGGTGACTAGGAGGGACGATCAGTATGTAGGCAAAGTTGAAGTCGAAGGCTGTCGCAGATCGCCAACGGATTTGACTTACGTTCGAAAACATGGCCTAGTAGGCAAAGAGCGCTCAGCCATGCACCCACATCGCCGGCGTTTGCGTACGGCTGGAAGACAGCAATGACCCCTGTCATCAGCAACACGCCAGCGAGTGGCTGACGACGGAACCGCAAGGCGAATGGAACGCTATACGATAACATGTGAAGCCAGAATACGCCCAGGAAGAATTCTCGGAATGCATCGAACATCTCAATGAAAAAGTACCACCAAAGGCCTGGGTTGGGGGTCAAGTCGGGCAGCGTCAGAGGGGTCATGAAAACCGCAGGTACAAAGTTCCATGACGGGAGAAACAGGCGCGAAAGCCCGAGCAGCATGGCCAGGATGGAGCCAAACACCATTGTCAGAATGAGGAGGAACGGCAACAACGGAGGAAGGCTTCGGCGGTCGAATGTAACTTTGCCTGATCCTGCAGGTGGTGCATTCCCATCGCCTCTTGCTGGCGCCTGAGAAAAAAGAACCTTTTGGCAATATCCGTCATAGCAAAGCATTGCCACTGGAGGCAGTAATAGTAATGGATGAAGACTGATGAAGCTCGCCAGAGCTAAGGCAAAAGCTGTCGTGGCGATGTTGCCGCGACATGCATGGTTTATGCTGATGAGTGTGAACGAGTTCGTGAAGACGGTTGTCGGCCGCCCCAGACAGGCCAGGACTGTAAAGGGGTTGAACAGATAGACCGCGGAAACTGATGCAGCTTGCCATCTCCTTGCAACTCTCGGGGACAAAAACGTTGTCGATCTGACGGCAGCTTCGGCTTGGACAATCTGGAATAGACTATTCGCCGAGACTATGTCCACCAGAGTGTAAATGATGATCGTCAAAAGCTGACCTAGCCATGAAGACGACGACGGCAATAGAGAGAACAAGGGGAGAAACAAGGGCGCCTGTGAATCTGTTCAGTATCGTATGTGAATTTCTGTGCAAGCCCGTGTAGGGAAACTTATACCTGGTGAAATATGCCGCCATCGTACGGGTCAAGACCGCGATCGTAAAGGAAAAGACCTTCCTGTACTGCGCCATCTTAGCGTCTGTCCGTTGATGTAGCACGAAGGATCATTCCATCGGAGCATCATCTCCAGGGCTCCTGACCCATTACCACATACATCGTTTGAAGCTGTTTACCGGCGAGGATATTTCCACCCGGCCAGTTAAAAGATCCGGCAGGGCAGGAAACGCTATAGCAAGCGAGATGCGGAGTGTCGCTGCAGCGAAGAAGAGTACTCTGCGAGGATGGTCATGGTAGACCTGCCGCAAGCTCTCCATGGTATGGGTTGTGATCGTGGAAGATATTCATGGCATCGTTACGAACAACAGCTCCATCTGGTCTTCAAATTTTGGACACGATCTCAGGATGTTGCTACTAATGTTCATCGTGGTTCACAGTCTCACCCCCGAGCTCGCCGCATTCAACTGTCGCATCACTGTGGCATTCCGTACCAATGCAGTGGAGTGCTGCGGCAAATCTAGGGCTCAAGCTAGCCTACTAGGGATCTGCGCGAAATCTTGGCGTCTGGCGGACTTTTTTCTGAGCAGCATCGCAAGATACCAAGCTCGCAAGCATCTGCGATCACAACTCAGTCTGTCGCGCAGACTTCTTAACAATTCAACATGGCGAAGATCAAGAAGAGAGGTATGTATTTGAAGTAAGTAGCGAGAACGGACCTCCCACTGACTGGCAAACAGGCACGACTGGCGCCGCCAAAAACTACATCACTCGTTCACAAGCCGTGCGCAAACTGCAGATTTCTCTCCCAGACTTTCGCAGAATATGTATCTTCAAAGGTTAGGACTGTCAAGAACATACTCGAGGTTCTCCGCTCATTCTGTGCGCTTAGGAATCTACCCACGTGAGCCGCGATCGAAAAAGCGGGCCTCCAAATCCTCTACGCCGAGCACCACTTTCTACTACACCAAAGATATCCAATACCTTCTCCATGAGCCCCTCCTCAACAAATTCCGTGACCAAAAGGCACTCGCCAAAAAGATCGCAAAAGCTCTTGGCAGGAATGAGGTCAGCGATGCCGCAAGATTAGAGCGCAATTTGACACCGCGCATGAAACTGGACCACATCATTAAAGAAAGATACCCTACCTTCGTTGATGCGCTACGAGATCTTGATGATGCACTTTCCATGCTCTTCTTGTTTGCGAACCTTCCGAGCACGGAGAACGTTCCGCCGAAGATCATCGCGAAGTGCCAACGCTTGACCATGGAGTTCGAGCATTATCTGATCCGCACGCACAGCTTGCGCAAGTCTTTCCTGTCAATCAAGGGAATCTACTACTCAGCGACTATCCAAGGACAAGAAATTTTATGGCTGGTGCCATACAAATTCGTGCAACGTGCAGCTGGTGATGTCGACTATCGCATCATGGCCACCTTCATTGAGTTCTACACCACTTTATTGGGATTCGTCAATTACAGACTGTACACCGGCATTGGACTCGTTTACCCGCCCAAATTTGATTCAAGACGCGAGGAGGATGGCGCTGAACTTGGAGCATTCCAACTCGAAGGTGTCAATGGAGCTGAGGAGGAGGAGCAGAACGAGCAGCTTCATGATGCGGAAGTCAACGAGAAGGCTCAAGCAGTCGCAGACAAGCTGGCCTCGCTCCCAGCAGAAGCTACGAGCAAAAGTTCAACAGGACAAAACGACAATGAGACTTCCCAAAGCACAGAGCATGCCGAGTCTAATACCACTGCTCTGGACCAATTTGCCTCCATCGATCCCACTGCCGACAGTCTACCTCAGCCATCACGAACCGCCGATGCTGCCACTGCAGCACAGCTTTTTGAATCCTTCACCTTCTTCTTGTCGCGTGAGACTCCCCGTCATCCGCTCGAGTTTATACTCAAAGCATTCGGCTGCAAGCGAGTAGGCTGGGACAGTCTGCTCGGCGAGGCTGGCTCATACTGCTCTGAAAGCGACCAGCGTATCACCCACCAGATTGTAGACAGGCCAGATCTGCCTTTGCCATCACCCCCAGCGACCGATGGCGAGGACGGTTACCTTGATGACGGCGTTGACGATAGTGCGGCAGTGAGGCGATCAAATGAGCGGATACCTGGCAGGATTTATATCCAGCCGCAGTGGGTGTGGGACTCGATAAACGCTGGACAACTGCAGCGAACTGACCTTTACGCGGCTGGGGCAACACTGCCACCTCATTTAAGTCCTTGGGTTAAGCCAAAGAAGGGAGAGTATGATCCAACGAAACCTTTGGCCGAGCAAGAGACCGCTGCAGAGGCCGAGGATGAACAATTCTCGAACGATGAAGATGAAGACGAGGAAGAAGACGAGGAGGACGATATTGAGACAGACGGTGCAGTCAACGGTACACACAGCCTTGCAGACGAGCTTGAAGATGATGAAGACGACGAAGACGGAGGAATGGATGTTCAATTAGCTGACTCGGATGAGGACTCGGATGAGGAAGGTGCGCCTGCTGCAGGGGATGATTGGGATGGGCTCTCCGGTGATGAACAGGACTCGGATGATGACACTGTCGCTGCACGCAAACATCAAGCAGAACTTGAGGCCGAAGCCCGAGGCCTTGCTCCAAAGATCACAAAACCCGCTGACGCGAAGAAGGCAGCCAAGCAGGCCATCCAGGCCAAACGCACACGTGCTGAACGCGAGGCCGCCGAAGACATCGAGCGACGTAAGATGATGACGTCTCGACGAAAGCGCAAGATGTACGAAAAAATGTCTTACTCCAATGCAAAGAAGGATGATGAAGCTGAAAAGCTGCGAGCAAAGCGGAGAAAGCTGGAGAAAGAGAAGGCGAAGAAGTGAAAAACGGACAACGAATGCATCTGATATTTGCGATCTGGCGTTTGGGAGGCTACATCCGGGCGAGCGGGCGTTACGAGCGGACACGATAGAGAATCTCATGTTTCATTTAAATGTATCATGCCGAAGACTCCATTTATGTGCGAGTGTCGTTGGCTTGCTTCATCAACTTGCTCAAAATCACGTAATCGGGCGATATCAGCTTGCCACGGATCTTGCGCGCCCGAGGCGAAGAACCGTCGACATCGAAGCCGAGTCTGTGATAGAACTGAACTGCAGAAGTATTCGCGACAAAGCAGGTCAACATGACCTTCTCGATGGCCGGCCCGAGCTGCTCCGCAACCTTCTCTACGATGCTGAAGAGATGTTGTCCGAGGCCTTTACCTCTCGCACTTTCAGTGAGGTGGATCTCATAGACATAAATAACTGCAAACCCATCTTCATGTGTAACCATGAAGCTCAGAAATCCTTGGAAATCCATGTCCCCTTCACATCCTTCGTCCTTCTGACCGGTTGAATCATTTTCGGCGTTGGATCTGCGCTTGACGGTGAGATAACGGAGCTCCGTCTGTCTCATTTCTGTTCTTTTCTGCCCTGGGCGCCAACCACGGCTGCTGGCATGGTAATCGGATCGGCTGGTAGACTCTACGAGCTTGAAACAGCGCTCTAGTGACAGATCGGCGAGATCAAGAGCATACGAGAAATCGATGACATATGTATTCTCGGTGGACGTTTCAGTACTGGATGAATCTGATTGATATCGGAGCATTGATTGTGGTAGAAATCTTGACTTGAACTCATCGCTGGATAATTTATTAGTCGTTGTGACAATGTCCTGTTTCGAGCGACGAAGACTCGGATCGGCTGCTATCTTGCGCCGTTTGGTAACAATCTCTCGCTGATCATCACTACTCGGATTGGCTGATCCTTCTTGACGAGGTGATGATAGTTGCTCCGTCATCCTATTGTGCGACTAGCTTGCGACTGTAAACATGTCAATTCACATCGTATTGTTGTATTAAACTCGCATGCGCGTTCAGAATAGTGTACTTCTACCTAGGTATCCCGAGACTTGGTGGCTAACTAACATTGGGTACGCGTTGTGGAAGACGCTACGCGGCACGCACGCGCAGAAGAAGCCTTGTCAAACGTGAACGACGTCACGGTCTGAAGCTCGTGACGCAGCGCTTTGTCGAACCGATCAACTTGACACTCAAATCAATACCTGGGCCATCTTGATCGCAAGCTTCCGCATCTTTGAGTAGACGGCATTTCGTTGACTCGATTAATTGTGCGTCGCCATCAATCCTCAAGACATGCATTCTACTATCCGACGAAGCGCTGCCATATTTTCTGGTCGATCACTGAGAGACAAGGGGCCAGTCCTCACGCTCGAGCATGTGTGTTCATGCCTAGCCTAGTATTTCAAGTTGATGGGCTACATTCTGACTGACTGTGACCTTCAAGTTTGTTCAGCGCCAGAAAGTCATCAGTCTATGGCGAAGCATAGTTCGCACGATCCGACGTTCGTGCACGAGATAAACATCTCCATCATACAGACTAGCTAAAGAACCCACCAGGAATCCCACCTTCTTCAAGCACACGAGAGGAGATGCGCACATTTGCACGGTCCGAATTCGAAAGGCATCGAAATGTGACCGATTTGGTAGGCAACCATCCCGTCGTAGGCGTGCAGGCAGATCGCTGACCTGACTTCATCAGACTCACATCCGTTATCTCTGTTCAGTAAGATCTCTCCATCTTGCGGGAATCCATCAGGATTACATCATTGGTACCTCATGTTATCAAGATGAAAATCGGGCCACGTGTTGATACTCTCCTCGATTCGTTGCTATTCACGTGTTATCGGGCACTGACGTTGTATAGAGCGGGAAAACACAACTCGATCAAATGCGGAGCTATGTCGAACAAGGAACAATTTAAACCCCTCAAATGGTCCAGATGATCAATTTTTGATCGAAGCCGCCACTCACGAGATATTCTTTTCGATGGCCAGCGTCCTCGATACTTCCAGCCCACAAGCACCGCACCTTGCTACCAGGCTCATGGCCTTGTAGTGTGGCGACGATCTTTCCCGAAACCGTTTCTATGCCTCTCACGACACCGTCATCTCCGTTGACCCAAACTCCCGAGCCATCCGGCCGCCAAGCTACAGCTGGCGTCGAATACGCAGTCTGTGGTGCCAAAGTTGAGCAATGGATCTGGATCGCGGCTGCTTCTCTCTCAGCTACAGCGAGTGCGGCCCGGGCTTGGGATGCCTGAGTTAATGCAGCCGGATTTTCGTCAAGCAGAGATGTTCTCAATGGTACTTGAGTCTCAATCTCGGCCGGTTGAACTTCGTTCCAATGCGGGAACAGGGCCCGGACAATCATGAGCTTCATATGCGGAAGGCTTGACGTTCCAACAGCAAGGAGCGTTGGATCGGTCGGACATGGCTCAATGCTCGATGGGGTGAATGCTATCCAGGCATTGGAATGTGGCGCAAGGTTCTGCTTTCCCAGTAGTCTCGGCTGGGCCTCAACGGAATAGTAGTGGATGAACGTTGAATCAGTACGGCTGATAAGTAGGACAGGGTTTTGGTTGTCAGGGTGTTGCAGGAATACGATAGACTCGGGCTTTGTGGGCAGTGAGATTGTCGCAAACGGCTCGTCCAATCGTGGTGGAATTGAAGGACTTGACTTGTATATGACAACTTTGCCGTCCCAGCCTGCTGTGGCTACCAGCGAGTCACTGCTGTCATCATGGTACACAATCGTCTTGATAATATACTTGTTGTGATCTCGACGTTTATCAAGCTGAGATGTCACATCGCCGATCTTGCTCAGATGGAGTTGACCAGACATGGAAGAGGTCAGCAGATGGCCTTTGAACTCAGTATGACTTAGAATCGGTGAGTCGTGAGAGCATGAAGTCGACTGTTCCAGTTTTCTTGTGTGCAGGTTGAGCACATGCAGGTTCCGATCGGCCGTCGATGCTAACAATACCGGGTGCGTAGAACTGACGGTCTGGTCAGCGCAATTGAAAACTCACTTTCAAGAGACTGTGAGCTCATCTACCCATTGTTGTCGGCAAGCTGAGTCGCACAAGCATATAAAATGTTCGAGGTTGACGGAAGTGTTGTCACAACATCGGCAGTTGAAGGAGCTGCGTGATTTTATCGTCAGATGCGATGCTCATAGGCAGCTTATCCTGTACGCGCACCTGGTCTAGTCCATCCTCGTTTGTCGTCATCAACCCCAAGCTTCTCGAATCGCAGAGCGATGTCGAACTTGTTCTTCTCCTCGAGAAGCGTCTCAAGCGTCAGGTCGCCACCTTCAGCGTTTCCAACATCAGGGGAAAGCCCTGCCTCTTCGATGAATGCATTGAATGTCTTTTGAATTCCAATTAGCAGAGTGTTTTCTGAAATATGACTTCGAAAGTCAAATTGTAATTACTAGATCATAGTTATTGGCCTTCAAATAGCGGGCGACAATTGCAGCTGGCGACACTTGCTGTGACATACTGCGGGGATGGTCGATTCTCGTGTGTTTATTAGTGTGATGTATTATGCAAAATGAATTTCTAGGCCTTTCAATTCGATCTGTGATCGTAGTGTTTAGTTGAAAGTATGTAGATGTCTGCTTGAGCACTACTGAAGTTTGAACCATTTTCTGGCAACCTTATCCACTGCCTGGGGCTCTCATGACCGCAAGCTCAGCGGGCAGCGCAAGCTTTGGAACGTCGCGTGCGCATTTCAACCATGCGTTAATAGGGACACGGCGACTTGACCTGTGACATACTGCTAAGCGATACGCTCGGTCTCGGTCTCATAATTTTGTGACGATCGGCGCCCTCCAGACACTTCAGACACATTGAGCACGCGGAATCGTGTGATTTCCATAAAAGCACAATGCTCTGCGTGGACAATCTAATGTACATATACGCAGAGACAACTTCCGAAATCGACTGCAGTTTTGTGCGAATTCCACTTCAGCTCTGTGCCTTTTCCAAGCGTTACGGGCATCGCAGTCACCCTTTTGCATTGCATCGGGACCCGGAGCAATTCATCTTAGCGCTAGGCGGCGGTCGTGATTGCAACATGCTTGATCGAGAAGCGAAGCAATGTGCGCATACGCTTCTCGGGTTCACCTTGAAGCTCTGTGTAGCGGACTAGATCGCACAGCTACTCTCGGATCGAGTTCAATCCTTACAAGGGCTGGCGAGACGAAGGCTGTCACGAGCATATACGTAGCGCACGCAGTGTGTTTCATCGAGAATGAGAAGGTGTGCCAGAAGCCGTGTCCATGATCTCTCGCTCACAATGATGTCCTCATTTAGCTCTAGAAAGCATGTCCTGCCGTTGCTGTCAAGCTGTATTCTGCTTGGACGCCAGCACAACCATTGGCGTAAGTGGTTCATCGCTTTACTGAAGGCAGCGGCACTGCAAAGGCCTTAGCTTCGTGTCTTGCTGGCCGATTGGCCATTGCGACAGGGCTAGCCTCAGCTTTTTGAATTTCTTCCAGTTCGCTTTTACTGTCTGCTTCAGGTATCTGGTTCCAGATCGTATTCCACACTCCAGGCGATGCACTCATGTCTTTACTTTGTTCTCGATTGATGTAGTATTTTCCCCAATTGGTGTAAGCAAACCAATAAAAAGGATTTTTCTTTTGCCCCTTCATCGAACCGGGCAAATGCTCCAAATTGGCGATGCCGCGTTTCCATGAAGGCTGAATGCGTCGCAGGTCGCGCAGCTTCATGTCTGACGATCGCGGCCACGGCATCCACCTCATATAGCTTGCGCGCACAACAGTGTCCGGCGGCAGCCTCTTCACAAATGATTTCAATGCGTCTTTAGACCGACGCGCAGAATCTGGCAATTTGATCGTGACATCATGAATCATGGGACCTGTAGCGAGACTGGTCACGATCATGGGCACCGGGCCTCCAACTAGGACGAGCGGTAGCATCCAGTTGGATACGTCTGCGGCGAAAAAGACTGCTGGAAGACCAAGGATCTCTACGCCGATGAAGGTCAGCCATGCGAATGCACGACCTATTCCAACAGCGACTGTGGCATAAGTCCCTGCTCGGTACACGTTTAATAGCTCCGGAAGCACTTGAAAACATTCATATGTCAGCCGTGAAGTATCAAACGCATCAGACAAGATACCTACACGCTTTTTTAGGCCTCCCTGCAAGACTGCTCTGCCATCGTGATATGGTCGTGGTCGCGCCGCCAGTAGGAACAGGGCGATCTTTGTGGCCAAGCCAGCGTGGTGTAAGTATGCGTCCTCCGCATGCAACTGCATGTGGGAAGACATGCGCGTTGCGGAGATGACGCGGCCGTAGTTGCAACATCACATCTTATATCCAAAGGGATAAGTGACGACTTCCGACCCACGAGATGCTGAACACCGGCTTTTATTGTTGGATGGCCAACATTTTGACTTCACTGATGGTCGGAACTTCTGATGATTCGGACCCTATAACGCCAAGCACCAGGGCGTGGCCACCCCCAGGGCGTGGCCACCAATTTCCGTATTAACCACAACAACAACTTCAACGCGTGATGGCTCCATCAAAACGCGTCCAAATGAGCTCAAACGAAGGGAGTATACTCCTTGCAATATCAGCTCTCAAATCAGATGCTATTGACTCCGTGTCAGCCGCTGCAAAAATGTACAATATCCCAAGATCAACACTACGTCGCAGATTGCAAGGAATGCCTAGTAGAGAGGACTACATGCCACAGAATAGCAGTCTTACTCTGATCGAGGAGGGCGTCCTTCTTAAGGACATATTGAAGCAGGATTCTCAAGGGCTATCTCCTACCCTTGATATTATACGATCTATAGCCAATTCCATCTGCAAAGCTAAGGGAAAACCTGAAGTTGGCCGGCATTGGCCTAGCAGGTTCATTCAGCGCAATCCCTCGCTAATAATGAAATCTGGAAGGACCTATGAATGCCAGAGAAGGCTCTATGAAACTCCGGCAGTGATTGAGGCTTGGTTTGAGCTTGTGAAGAACACTATCAACAAGCATGGCATCTTACCACAAGACATGTACAACTTTGATAAGACAGGCTTTCAATTAGGCCAGATCTCAACTTCTAGAGTAGTCACATCATTTGAAAGGACTGGTAGGCCAAAGCAAGTCAAGCCTTCAGGCACTGAATGGATCACAGTCATCCAAGGAGCCTGTGCGGATGGTTCAGCCATACCACCACTCCTCATCTTCAAAGGCAAGACTATCAACTATTCATGGCTTGGAGAAGACTTTCCTCAGACATGGATGTTTGCAGCAAGCCCTTAAGGCTGGACAAGTGATGAGATTGGCTTGCAATGGATCCAACACTTTGAAAATCATACAAGAATGAAGACTATTGGCAGCAAAAGATTGTTGATCCTGGACAATCATAGGAGCCATACAACACTAGAGTTCACCTCTTTCTGCATGAAGAACAATATTGTCCTTCTCTGGATGCCTCCTCACTCATCTCATATACTCCAGCCTCTTGATGTTGCCTGCTTTGGCCCTCTGAAGCAGGCCTTCTCAAAACAGACTCAGCACCTGATCCGCAACCATATCTTTCATATCAACAAAAGCACCTTTATGGATGCATTCAAAGCTGCATACTTTGAATCAATCACACCTCAGAACATCCAGGCAGGGTTCAGAGGCTCTGGCCTG